TGTGGGGCGGGGGGGGTATTGTGCTGATTTCTGATTCAAGGTCGCAGCACACAGTATTAATAGAAGACGCGGGTATAGAAAGTAGTACAGCGAATATTTTTGAAGGCTGGGTAGAAAGTCTGATTAAAGCGTCAGCCAGATGTAAATTGTGCTGTGTGGTGTAGGAATGTGTCGGGTTTGAGACTGTATGATTTGAGTTGGGAAGGTTTTGCAGTTCGTGTATTACAGACGCTTTCCGGGTGAGTCGGCTGCAGTTCAGGTCACGTCCGTAGAGGGCGATTTCAAAGTGTACGTTACGAGCAGATACACCGACAGGATTTTTTGGTTTCTAGATATTTTGTAGTTTGTACCTTTTTCTCAAACATATTCGATTTTCGTATTTGTAAAGTGCACCCTACTATAATTTTACCGCGTCGAAGTGAGTCATCTTGGGGTCCTTAACAATAGAAATCCCCATAGGGCGAAAACTGTGTTCTGCTACCTTAATACTGGTTTTCTGATAACAGGATTGTGATTACGATCAGAACGGGGGGTTTTAACAGTCATTATGAAAACCCGCGGCCGTATTTTCAAGTTATCCACATTTTACGTATTGTCCATAGTATAGTGTATCACTATATCCAAGCACGCCCAACATCACTGACATCTCTCATTGACTGGCTGTACGTACAAGTTAAGGTTTGGTCTGTCAATTATCAATCAAATAAAGACAATCTTTAGAATTGACTTAAGGTGTTGTGTAAACACGATGGAGTCTGAAATTGTATTTTGGACTGGGGGCGTTTTATAACAATAGCTCGGATATCTGGCAGGTTCAAGTGAACGGGCAAGAATGTTGGACCTAATTTACACGCGGGCAAAAACGTAGGTTCATCCCTCGAGGTACGTTCTTTTATTTATTTTTTTTATTCCAACATTTCATGACTAGACATGGTGACAGCACACTCAAGTCATATCAATTTATTTTATACTGTCATCAACGCAGAGGACAAATACGGAACAGGACAATACTCATTCTTACTTGAGTTAAGTAAGGAAAGTCGTGTGTTTTTCCCAAGGGCACAAGATCGGTGGCATGTCAGGACTCGAGTCGAGTACTCTGCCGCTACGCCACACGACCTCACAACGTACATGTACGTCAAAGCAGGCCAATTTACACACAAGAAATATTCTACATAACGTAATGCAGTTTTCGTACGCTCAAAGGGCTTTTGCCCGCGTGTAAATTGGGTCTAGGTTAGCTGCAGACATGACCGAGCGGCCGATTAAAAGTCATAATTTTCCATTTACAAAAAAAAACATGTATCACTCAGGAAGGCATGGATGTAGGCTATAACAAAAGACATTTACGCCCGCTTTAAGGTGCAGGCGCTTATCAGATGGTCATGCCGTAGGCACAATAAGCAATGCATTATCAGTTAGGAGTGCGGAAAAAGTTCTGCCTCTTTAACAGTACGTTATTGTTATGAACTTTTCTGACAGTCTGAGGTTTTGACTTATCTTAGCACAACGCAAACATCATTTTCTCTGACTTATACATATACTCTTACCTCTGTATTCATCAACATCGGATGACGTGGATGTTGACATGATGGAATAATTGTGAAAGTTGTTTGCAGCAGTTGTTTCGAGCGTACGCATTCAAGATGGATCATAACTGCACCGAAATGTTGCTTTGGGCCTTCTTATATACCAGCCATTACGTCACTTCTTTCTGGTGACCATCAGAGACCAATCAGGACGCAGATATTTGCATGTTGTCATGGATACCATTGATCAGATCGCAGTAGAGCACATCTTATTATCAATCGAACACGTCACATGTTTCATATGCTTCTCCTTAGAAAAAAATAAGTACAAAGGTCCCATGCTGGATGATTGACCATTTCACAGGTCGTCATTTCATAAATACAACAGTCTGGTCCAGAAGTGTAAAGTTCATGTGATTGCAAATGCCAAGCTATTAAGGCCATGTTGATTTGATTATAGGGATGACATCATCTGGGAACACCATAACTGATGCAAGCATGCGAAAAAAAAGTTTGGCAAAAACGTTGCCTCCATTATGAAATCTACGTGGTCTTGAAGGTTAAGCAAATGATTTA